TGCATTTTTGGCCTTTCTGAAACAGCCCATAGACTGTTGCCCTCTGGGAAATTCTGGGGTACAATCTCAGTGCTCTCCTGCTTTGACTGATGATCTCTAGAAGGTTAAAGACTGGCGTTTGAAATTTTTGCAATCCTAGCTGCAACTCTTAAGCAAAGTTTGTTCGTTATCAGGTGGAATTGTTCCACCACATTACGCATTATGCTCTGGAAATAAGAGCCTCCTGATTATCCCTGGCCTGAAGGATATCCGGTAGGGTTGCCAAGTCGAATCTCCTTACCAGCGGGGGAGCGTCGCCGGGCTCCGGGAGCTCTCCTCCGATGCGTTTGCGCATGCTATGCGCGCGTGTGCCACCAGCACATCCCGGAAGTGATGCGTGACATCAATCACGTTGGGGGCGTGGCCCCAATCGTCGGAGGGAAAAACCCGATCGTTGGAGGGAAAACCATAGAGTTTTCCCTCCGATGATCGGGGCCACGCCTCCAACGTGATCAACGTGGTTGCGTCACCTCTGGTGACGCAGCCACGCTGCACTTCGGGGGGGCGGAGTTCCGTGGTGGCGGAAATCAGACCTCCAAAGCGGGGGGTTACCCGCCCCCACTTGGCAGCCCTAATATCCGGCTGTCCTCAACCAGAGCCAGGGCCTTTTCAGCCCTGGCCACGGCCTGGTGGAACTATCTGCGCAATGACATCCAGGCCCTGCAGGACCTAATGCAGTTCCGCGGGGCCTGTAAGACAGAGAAGTTCCACCAGGCCCATGGCTGACGACCAACAAACACACAGGGAACACAGCAAAGTTAGACAGACATAAAGAAACACCGTGATATAACAAAACACACTCTACTAATATGCACTTGTGTCTTCATATATTGATTTACATACAATAGAGACCCTAGTATATCTTATACACATTCATTATAGTACAAAAACCTAAAGTACATTATATATCTACTAATGGAAAAGTCCACAGCTACAGAGACCTATTCCAATGCTGTAGACTATCTTGCTCCTGATAAGAGACTGATGGAGGTTGCAACAGTCGTAAATGATGAGAGACGCAGTAGGCTGTTATGTTCTCCGCACAAAGCGATTCAGCGAGCATCAAAGCAAGCGACACGCCTCCTAGGTAAAAATTGTGTGTTTCGACAGATTCTTCTTCAGACAGACATATTTTTCCTGGAACCAAAGCTCACAATTTTACAGTGCAGAAGCCTTTTCCAGGAAAAACATGTCTGCCTGAAGAAGAATCTGTCAAAGTGACTTGGTGGCACAAAGTGACCCATGCACATCACCTTATCCTTTTTTTTTCTTTTTACTGAAGATGCCAGGGATTGAACCTGGGACCTTCTGCGTGGAAAGCAGATGTTTTGCCACCGAGCCATGGCCCCTTCCTCTGCAGAAGGATGAGGCACAATTCTGTGTTCACCCAGGAATTCACACAAACATTATACTGCAGTTTTTCATATTACAAAATGTGACTTACATTGAATACCTGTTTCCATCATTCCCTGAAACTCTGATATGGTGAAGAAACAGAAACTCAGCTGGGACTGTGCAGATTTATCCTTTTAGTTCATTCCTCTCCTGCCCTTCTCCAAGGGGCTAAAGGTGTCTTACATTATTCTCCTTTCTTCTTTATCCTCATCACAGCCCCGTGAACTAGATTCGGCTGAGAGAGGGTGACTGACCCCAAGTTACCCAGAGAGCTTCATGGCAGAGTAGACATTTTAAACAGTCTCTCCAGCTACTACACCGCACCGACTACAAATAGGAACAGAGTCGGAACAATGGCATGGACGATACCGTGATTATTAAAAGATCACGGATGGCTTTGTGAATTCCGGGCACACTGGATAATGCAACTCCTTTTGCAATAACAACATCATCCATCCAGTGAATTCAAAGTTACTAAGTTCTTCCATTCCCTGCAACTGGGTTGTCTTGACCTTATAACGGTGCCCTGTTCCTCATATTGATCCAGAAACAATAGGATATCAGCACTGTAAACAGTACACTAATTAGTGGGAAAGGGTTATAAAAGCATCAAAGAGTCCCTGAAGTGTCTGAAAGACTCCCTGACCAAACCTGTGTAAAGGTACTTATTTAGTAAGTCTTTACAAAGGTGCATCCATTTGCCCATTTCTCCAGTTCCACCGAGGAAGGAGACTCACGTGCCACAGGAAGGGGTAGTCCTCTTTATGGTCAGCTGAGGCATGCTGGGAAATGGTAGTAAGATTCACATGAGCAGCCTCTTTAGGAGTGGGGAATGTAATCTCCTATTTGAAGAGAAATCCGTGTGACAGCTTGCTCCTCTCATCAGTCAGGCTCGAGGGCCAATTTATGTTTATGAAGCAGTTGGGAGAAGGATTAAAAGGCTCTTACTGTATGGATCAAGGCCAGAGAGAGGAATCTCCATGCTAGCAGATGTGCGCTACCAGTGTGGAGAGACCGCACACATCTCAGACTGGTAAGAGCCTCTTAAATGTTAAGCCCACTGAGGGAAAGCACTTTATGGCAGACTCCATATGGGGTTTGTAATGTTTAAATTGACCTGCAAGAGACCAGATCAAAAAGTTGGGCGTGTCAGAGGCAAGGAACTAAGGCTGCAATCCTAAGGACACTTTCCTGGGAGTAAGCCCTATTGAATAATATGGGACTTACCTCTGAGTAAACCTGCTTAGGATTGCTCTCTAGCAGTGCAATTCTAAACAGAGCCACATCCTTCTAACCCCAGTGTTTAGGATTGCAGTGTTTAAGGACTTAGCTGCGCTCTCAGGAGGTAGAAATCACTGGTATTAGGAAACACTCGGGTTACACCGTGAGAGCTTCCTATTTGCCTTCTGGGAAGCGGGTAGAGTCTATCCCATGGATTACCAATAAGTACACACACAACCATCTATGTAACTCTGTTTTAGATGAGGGTGGAACGAAAACATTCATTGAAACAGAGCTGCCACTGCGGTAAAGGTAAAGGTTCCCTTGCTCGAAAGCCAGTCGAGTCCGACTCTAGGGTTGCGGTGCTCATCTTCGCCCATTCCTGTCCACTTTAGTTCACTGATTCCTAGGATATCGATGTTCAGCCACTGCGGTACTCATCAATTATTTTTGATACGTTAAAAAGGTGTCATTAATTGGGCAGCTGCTGTATGTGTGCGTATAAATTATTCTCATTGTAAAGTGTTTACAAATCTATCTGCAGCAGGTGCCTTCTTGGAAGAGACCTTGCTCCTTCACCTTCACACTAGAAAGAATACCTCTACTGAGGAAGGGCTTGCGGTGGTATAGGCCATCTTAACCACTTGAGCCACCGCAGCTCCTAGCCACTGCGGTACTCATCAATTATTTTTGATACGTTAAAAAGGTGTCATTAATTGGGCAGCTGCTCTGTGTGTGTGTGCGTGTAAATTATTCTCATCAGAAAGTGTTTACAAATCTATGTGCAGCAGGTACCTTCTTAGAAGAGACCCTGCTCTTTCACCTTCACACTCGAAAGAATACCTCTACTGAGTGGTATAGGTATGCATCTAAAAACAGGGACGAATGCTGTTTTTTCCCTGTTTTACATGGAAGTTAAGAGACGAAACCAAGCATAAGCTGGCTGCTTTGTCAAGCTCTACATTCTTTGGACTGTTAAGAGCACATGTTTTGGAATTCCACTAGTATCTTCTGGCTGTTGGCAGCAACTTACATTTTGTTGTATTACCGTGTTATTGTATCACATTAAGATATTGTATGATTGGGTTGTATACCTTGTGAATATTTTGTATACTTAGATACTGTAATCAAGTATAAAAGTAATTGTATTAGCATACATAACTAATGTTTAAGAGTGTATTATTGGACTGATATTGGCCCCAGTTTTGTTGTCTTTGGAGTTTGGATAGTGGGAGGTCTGTCTTTTGGGTTTGGTTACATGGAAATGTAACTGATGAATTGATTTCAATAGTTCAACTGAGATGCTGACTAAGTTTTGTTTAACGGAGTAACTGACAACCGTGCAACGGCGCTTCGCCAGTTTAATCAAATGGGGTTGTCTCTTGAACATGGACATTCGTGTGGAAAAAGCAAACCTGTAGGAAATATGGGGATGGCCTCGTGCAGAGATCACCTTTCCTGGTGCCCACAAAGTGTTTTTAGAAAGTGGGTTGGGTAGGGTTGCCAAGTCCTGCCTAGCTACCAGTGAGGGGGACTCCTGATTCCTCCTGTAGTTCTTCTGGCACATGTGTGAAGCGTGCGTGCCGCAATGACATCATCTAGAAGTGACATCATTGTGTTTCTGACATTAGGGGGGATGCTCTAGGTTTTGGGCAAAACGGTATGGGTTTTTGGGGCCTCAAAACCATAGAGTTTTGCCCAAAACCTACAGCGTTGCCCATGGCATCAGAAATGCAATGGCGTCATTCCCGGGTGACATCATCACATTCAAAACCATAGGGTTTTGCCCAAAACCTACAGCGTTGCCCCTGGCATCAGAAATGCAGTGGTGTCATTCCCGGGTGACATCATCACACCAGCAGCACCAGGAGGGGGCTTCTCGGGGATGGCGCTTCCCCCGGGATTGGGGGGCCCTAAATTGGGGGGTCCCCTGGCCCACCAGGGGAATGGCAACCCGAGGATGGAGTCGGGAGGCACTTTCGCCCAACAACGCCACTTATAGACCATTGGACATTTGATGGGCTGTGCAGATGTTTAAATACATTGCTTTGGCAGCTGCCACCACCACAGCACAAGGAGTGTGTCTGCCATGGCTGGTCAGAATTCCAAAGGTGCCCACAGGACAGAGAACATCTCCCCGTGCGTCATCACGATCGCCAGGACATGGACGTGCTTCCCCTTCCGCTCGATGCAGAATGCACATGGCACGTCATCCCGTTTGGCCCAATGAGGTTGGACGTGCGGGGGGGGGGCAGGAGCCCCTCGCAAAACAGATTGTGGAAGAAGTTAGCGTTCCATTTGATACCGAACGCAGCCTATATTCTTCAGAGGGGCCTGCATAATGCATGCCGTCGTTTGTCATGCATAACGTTATTATAATAAACACCAAAGGATTTGTAGTTGGGATGATGAGTCACTTGTAAAATTGTTGCCAAGTGGATAAAGAGCACAATGTATTTACACAGCACTTAACTCCCGTTACATTCGAAAGCAGGAGTGAGACGATAACTGTACGACATGCATCATCTGGAAAGGAGCCAAGCCCTAAATACCTTTTTCCTCCTTTTTCCCCTCCTCTCTTTCACTTGCAGGTTTCTTGAGCACGGGGGACCAAGCAGCCAAGGGCAACTATGGCCTCCTTGACCTCATTCAGGCCTTGAGGTGGACTAGTGAAAACATTGGGTTCTTTGGTGGCGACCCGCTGAGAATCACCGTTTTCGGATCCGGTGCCGGCGGTTCGTGTGTCAATCTCTTGACTTTATCCCATTATTCTGAAGGTAACCGTTGGAGCAATTCAACCAAAGGTATTATTGCAGGTTGCAAATTTTGACGATTTTGGTGTCTGCATGCCACCGCCATGACTTCTATGTGATGCTCTTGTATATATATGTATTTTGTTGCATCTAGGGATGCCCAGAGAGCAATAATAATAATGATCATAATACCTACTATATTTCTTGCATAGATATGTCGCTTCATATGTCATGGATTCCCTTTACAGCAGTGGTCCCTGACACGGTGGCTCCGGGCACCATGGAACCCATGGCTACCTTTCCTGGTGCCTGCCAAGTATTTTCAGAAAGTGGGTGGGACCAAGTGGGGCTCCCACCCAGCAGGACTTCTGATTGGACACTGGAGATCTGATGGGCTGTGCCAATTAAAATGGCAGTGTTTCAGTGAAAGCTGCAACTACAGGAGTGGCTTTTTTCTCTCTCACGCTCCTTTTTCCTAGGGTTGCCAGCTCCAGGTTGAGGAATACTTTTTTCTCTCTCACGCTCCTTTTTCCTAGGGTTGCCAGCTCCAGGTTGAGGAATACCTGGAGATTCGGGGGGGGGGGAGCCTGAGGAGGGCAGGATTTGGGAAGGGCAGGGACCTCAGCAGGGTATAATGCCTGCTTCCAAAGCAGCCATTGTCTCCGGGGGGACTCATCTCTGTCACCTGGAGACAGAGCCAAAGCCAGAATTTTGTGGCTTGTGGGGGGGGGTTTTTTTTCCCCCTGGTGGGGCTGAAGTTTTCAGTGAAGAAAGAAAAGCCATTTAGCCAACAGAAAGCTGTTACCAGGATAGATCTCTAAATTGCAAGTCGTCAACCACAGTTCTCAGCTGCTGCAAGTGAATCACTCCTGCCAGCCTCAGCAACAATTCTGATAACAGGCCAGCAGGTGGGGGTGATGACTTCTGTAGTCAAGAAAGCTAACACTTTGGCAGGAAAACTCTCTTAAAGGAGACCAGTTTCTGGACGCAGAGTTAGAAGGGATCCTAGAGGTCACCTACTCTAACCCCCTTGCTCAGTGCAGGAAATAGTTAACCACAGCACCCCACTCAGCTTAAAGGCACACATGCCTTTAAAAATGTGTTAACATGATTGAAAAAAAAGCATTCACAGGAGGAATTCTTGCGGAGACGGAGCCCCCAAAAGCCCCACCGTAGCTACGGGCCTGCCTGGAAATCAGCTGCAATCCCAGGAGATCTCCAGGAACCACCTGGAGGTTGGCAACCCTCTTGCGTCCCCCTGCACTTGGGCTTTGTCTCTGTGTGTCACTGCTTCACCTTCTACACCTTATATCAAATTCGAAAGGTACCCACAGGATCTAGAAGGCTGGTGATCCCTGCCCTACAGTGATAGTGCTGACTGCTGTCTTTTGCCATATGGAGGCCTATGACACTGGGAATCAGTTAGACCCCAGTTATATGAAACCGTTTCCATTCAAGGCAGTAGTCCAAATGGTGCCACATTTATGCTTATGCCCCATTTAAGACAAAGAAGGCCATTTTAAAAGTATTTTGAAGGGATTTTGATTCAAAGGGGGTGAAAGGGTATAAGGTATAAATAAAGCACATGAAAACCCATAGGGCTGAAAATTATCCCCATTTCCCTTTGTGCTCTAAACAGTTGCTCAGGTCCAGCTCACTGTCAATAGAAGATGCATGGACTCTACCTCCAGCAGTTCATTTTGTAGCCAGTTTGGTGTAGTGGTTAGGAGCTTGGACTCTAATCTGGGAGAACCGGGTTTGATTCCCCACTTCTCCGCATGCAGCTGCTGGAGTGACCTTGGGTCAGTCACAAATTCTCTCAGAGCTGTTCTCTCAAGAGCAGTCCTCGAAAGGGCACTCTCATCCCCACCTGCATCACAGGGTGTCTGCTGTGGGGAGGGGAAGGGAAAGGAGATTGTAAACCGCTCTGAGACTCCGAGTGAAGGGCGGGGTATAAATCCAATCTCTCTGTCTCATGGGACCCATGTGGTTTGGGGGCTGCAGTGAGCAGGGGGAGGGAGGTAGAATTGCCCCATCTTCCCTCTTCTGCAAATGCAGATCCACTGTTGAAAGTAGGGCTGCCAGCTCTGGGTTGGAAAATACCTGGAGACTTTGGGGGTGGAGCCAGGAGAGGGTGGGGTTTGGGGGCGGGGTTTGGGGAGGGGAGGGGCCTTGACAATGCCATAGAGTTCACCCTTTAAAGCAGCCATTTCCTCCAGGGGAGCTGATCTCCAGGCCCCACCTGGAGGCTGGCAACCCTAGTTGGAAGGGGGAGGGGAAGTGATCTCCTTCCTTCCCCCACATGGCCTTACGTCCGCACAGGTCCTGTGACTCTAGGAATGATCTTCCCAGCAACCGACAGGGACTAGGGCGAGAGGGAAATGCAGGTAAAAATCTGCCTCCTCCAGCATCTTCAGCTGACGGCTGGTTTGTTCCAAGCCATTAATCCTTAATGCAATTCCTGTCCTTCTGCTTTCACATTAAATGGGAGTCATCATCAAACATAACCCATTTTTAAAAGTTTGGACTCAGTTGGAGGGAGGGGATTGTCTAAAAAGCTCATTCCTTCTTGGGTTGCCAACTCCTGGTTGGGAAATTCCTGGAGATTTGGGGGTAGGGCCTGAGGATGGCCGGGTGCAGGGAAGGGACGGATCTCTGTGGGATATAGTGCCGTAGAACCCATCCTCCCAAGCATCCATGTTCTAGTAGGGGAATTGATTTCTGTAGTCTGGAGATCAGTCCCAATTCTGGCAAAAATCAAGCCGCCCCCCCCCCCCTTGGGAGTTCGTAACCCGAATGCGGACACTCAGAAATGGATGCTGGGGGGAAAGAGACATCAAGACAGTTATACCCTGGGCGATTCTGCATCTAGCATTCGCTCCACATTTTCTCAACTGGGAGGGGAAAGTACAGCTCAAAACCCATTCGAATACCTCGGGGCAATGCCGTAGTGACTGCAAAGTCACCCCTGAACAGCCATAAATCTATGCAGAAGGTCCCATGAAATCCGATGATCAAAGGAAGCGAAAGCGGCATGAAATGCAGGGGGTTCCATGAAATCCAATGATCAAAGGAAGCAAAAGCGGCATGAAATGCAGAGGGTTCCATAAAATCCAATGATCAAAGGAAGCGAAGGCGGCATGAAATGCAGGGGGTTCCATAAAATCCAATGATCAAAGGAAGTAAAAGCGGCATGAAATGCAGAGGGTTCCATGAAATCCGATGATCAAAGGAAGCGAAAGCGGCATGAAATGCAGGGGGTTCCATGAAATCCAATGATCAAAGGAAGCGAAAGCGGCATGAAATGCAGAGGGTTCCATAAAATCCGATGATCAAAGGAAGCGAAAGCAGCATGAAATGCAGGGGGTTCCATAAAATCCAATGATCAAAGGAAGCGAAAGCGGCATGAAATGCAGAGGGTTCCATAAAGTCCAATGATCAATGGAAGTGAAAGCAGCAGGAAATGCAGAGGGTTCCATAAAATCCGATGATCAAAGGAAGTGAAAGCGACATGAAATGCAGAGGGGGGGGATTTCTGTTCCAAGGTGGGTTTCGTAAAACAACGGAGGCAGAATCAGCCTCTGAGAAGCTTGGCCACGCTTCCTCCTTTCTGTCCCACATGCAAATTCGATGCAGAACACATGACTGCTATAATACCTATAATAACTGCCTTGTATCTGAGGCCTCCTCTCTCCTAAGGGTGCTTTTCTCAGAAAGCGAATCAGCGACATTCACAGTACATATGAAACCAACTGTATTTCCTTGGTTTACGGAGGGCCTGTTTAGTTCCTTTTTTTTATGAGGAGAAATGTCTGAAGGGAAGTCGGTGACATAGTCTCCTGGTTCGTACCGAATGGCTGAGTTGTTGCAAACTGTTATCTGCCGCGAAGAAAATGAGCCCTCGGTTCAGAAGCCTTTTATCTGAAACTGTTAAAGGTTTCATTTGGGGCCATCCAAGGAAAGAACAAGTGTTTTCTGTATGTCTGACCTGAGACTCTTAAAGCATCAAGGTTGCTCTTCCGTGTCTTTTTTCCTTCTGTCATTAGCACCTCTCTTCTCTAGGACAGGCAAGACAGTTGGCTGAGAGGGGAAAAAAACGAAGGAAATTCTTTCGGAGGTCACACAGGCCTTCTGTTTCGGCACCCTCGTCCTCTTTGGGGAAAGACATGGCACAGTTTGTTAGACTGAGACTCTGAGGCAGTTAATTGGACACAAGAGGAAGTGTGCATGCACACTTACGCTTATATCTGGAATAGGACTTTGTTGGTCTTAAAGGTGCCGCTGGACTCAAACTTCATTCTGCCTTCTACTGAGTCTGCCAAAGCAGCTGCTCTCCAGGGCCTCAGACAGAAGTCCTTCACATCACCGACCACATCATTCTTTTAGCTGAAGATGCCAGGGATTGCACCTGGGACCTTTGGCATGCCAAGCAGATGTTGTACTACTGAGCCACAGCCCCTCCCTAAAACTAGAATCACAGAATCATAGAGTTGGAAGGGACCTCTGGGGTAATCTAGTCCAACCCCCTGAACAGTGCAGGGAAATCACAGATACCTCCCCCCACGCCCCCAGTGACTGCTATTCCACGCCCTGATGACAAAAAAAAAATAAATCTCCAGGATCTCCAGCCAGTTTGGCCTGGAGAAAAATTGCTTCCTGACCCCAAAGTGGTGATCAGCATTCCCTTGGGCGTGTAAGAAAGGGCCACAAAAACTAAGCACTGAGGCAACCCTTCCTGCCTTCTCTTTTCATGATCTGCCTGAGTTCACAGAATCAGCAGTGCTGTCCGATGGTCCTCTAGCCTCTGCCTGAAAGCCTCCAAAGAAGGAGTACACACACATGAAGCTGCCTTAGTACTGAATCAGACCCTTGGTTCACCAAAGTCAGTACCGTCTACTCAGACTGAGTAGGGTTAGCTGTCCGAAGTCTCAGGCAGAGGTCTTTCCCATCACCTACTACCTCATCTCCTTTTACATGGAGATGCCGGGAATTGAACCTAGGACCTTCTGCATGCCAAGCAGGTG